AGTCTCTCTCTCTCTCTCTCTCTCTCCCTCCCTCCATCCCTCCCTCCCTCCCTCCCTCCCTCCCTCCCTCCCTCTCTCCCTCCCCCAACATAAAAAAAAAAGAAAAACTGCAGATACACACTATATACATTGTGCATAGATGTATATGTGTGTACATATAAATATATATGCATGCAACAATATGTGCGTATGTGTGTATATATATATATGTATGTATATATATATATAGAGGGAGAAACAGGGAGTGTTTAGGGGTTTAAGTCTTTGGAGCCTTTGAGGCACACCAGGCGCCGTGGGTAATTATGGTGTCATTCCCAAAGTGGTTTTGTCCAGTGATGCTGCGGGACAAGGGGCCTTGTGTAATCCGTGCCCACAGCCACCGAGGCAAAACGTGACGGTTAGCATGATGTTTCGTCAGCAGCTTGATCAGTTGGTCGAGGATCTGAACCGCCCCTTGGCCAGTGATTGCTGCGTGCGTCGTCTCATCTGCTCTCCACATTTTTCGCCTGAGGAACCAACCCACGCTACATCCGATGCATCAAGCCCAATGGGCACAAGCAGGCAAGGGGGGCATCTATTACTTGAGGAAAAGGGTCTAGGCCGTAGCGACAGCACCTGCCAGGCACATGAGATGGATTCTCTCGACGTGCAGAGACAGCTTCGATGTGCCGGCATGCTGGAGTCGATTCGCATCCGACGGGCATCTTGCATTGATTTGTGAGCATTCCAAAGGTGGTTGACCTGTACCCAAATGGTGCTGCCAGGCTGGGTATTCTGTCAGACGACCGTTTAAAGAGTTCTTCAACAGGCTGGGATGCAGCTTTCTAGAACTCGCACCAAAAAAGGGCTCGTTGTTGGCAGGTTCCGAATCCTTTGCCCCCACATCTCCACGGGAAGAAGCTTGGACCCAGACTACAAGGAGCTGAGCCGAAAGATTCTGATGGAAGTGGAGGCACGGTGAACTCTACAGACCTTACAGATACACGGCACAAATCTCATCATCCACCCGAGACGCTGTGTCAGGCAAAGTTCGAGGCCCAGAAGCAACCTCTCGCGCCTCAGAGATGTTGGCCGAAACTAAACTATCGCTTCATCGGAGCTTCGCAGCACGAAGGAAGCCAAGTCCTGGCAAGTGGGAAGAAGCAAGGTTTTCCTGTCTCCCTGCCGCAAGAAAGCGTAAATGAATGTCAAGTTCTCGGAGCTTTGCAACTGCAGCTACAGACTCTAGATTCCTAGCACTCTGAATCGAACGGAGTCCTCGAGCTGTGAAGATTCAGAGGATTTCCTGTCTCGCAATCTTGTAACTTGTTCAAGCTTGTGCAGTGAGCTGTGCATGCTTGCAAGGAAGGAGGAGCTGCAGGGGAGGCTGGAGAAGACGATCGGTGAAGCAGTGAAGGCTGACCTCATAATATGGGGATTGCGGGCATAGCATTGTGAAGTTATCGTAGGGAACCCCAAGGAACAACAGTATGCAACATTGATGATTATTTAGACTTCTATAATATTATGTCTTTCTCCCACACTCGCTCTCGGTCAGTCTCTCGTTGCTTCTAAGCTTGTAGATGCGTGCGCAGACGAAAGGGCAGAAAAGAAGAACAGACGTACTGCCTGCCTGCCTGTCTGTCTGCCTGCCTACCTGACTACCTTCCATTCATCCTTTCATTCCTTCATTCCTTGTACGTGCAGGCATACTTCTTGGCATTCAAAGGACCTGCACAGTAACGACTTTGTAATATTTTGTAATTCTGTGTATGCGTTTGTGCATGCATGCATAAGCATCAACACGCCGTTAAGTTAAGTGCTTTGCGAGACAGGTCTTGCATGCCATGTATGTACTGCATGTAATTAATGCCTGACATGCAGCGACGATAGATACGTAACGCAGGCGATTTGTGTTACTTGCCGACACAAGTTGCATACTGTGTGCATGCATACAGACACTCCTGAGCACCCTGCCAACCTATCTACCCACCCACCCACCAACCCACCCCACTGACCGCCCAACAGGCCCACCGTCCGACCGACCGACCTACTACCGCGCCACCTACCTATTTACCAACCTACCGACCCAACGATGCGTACATGTGGCTGTCTGTCTGTCCGTCTGTCCTCTGTCCGTCCGTCTGTCGGTCTGTCTGTCATGCATGCGTGAACATGATTTTGCACGTTCGTATTCAGATGCCTTGTTTGTGTATGTATAGATATAAATATAACGAATATATATATATATATGTTTATATATGTGTAAATATTTATATGTGTATATATATATACATACAGATGTGTGTATGTACATACATACATACATACATACATATGTATGTATGTATGCATGCATGCATGCATGCATGTATGTATGTACGTAGGTACGTAGGTAGGTAGGTAGGTAGGTAGGTAGGTAGGTAGGTAGGTATGTATGCGTGTGTGTATTTGTGTGTGTATGTATATATGTATGTATATATATATGTATGTATGTATGTATGTATGTATGTATGTATGCACATGAAGCCTGACTCGTCGAGTGCGAGTGCTAAAAATGTATGCACATGAAACAAAGAGTGTGTCTATGTGTGTCTGCAGGTAGTTCTACACATCGAGACGAATGTCCTTCAACCCCTGAAAGTCGTTATAATGTGGTGGTGCGGGCTTTGTGCAGGTCTTCGTGCTTCGAATACAAAGAAGGTGGCGTGGCTTCCGGGCAAAGCGTCGGTATAGCGCTTTTGCTGCACATGGCATGCGGCATCTTCTTCCTGGCACAGCCTGTGCAAGCAAGATATAGCAAGATCGCAGTAGCCAGCTGTCCTCATCAAAAAAAGCACGACCTCTGACACGCAACCGTCTTTGCTCAGGTGGAAACATGTCACTGCTGTATCGCCTAAAGATAGCATAGGCCTGTGGGTGGACAGAGGGTTTAGGTGTGCTGGTAAGCTAAGGAGCAATGAAGGCTGCCACGCTCCAAGTGCAAGCGATTCTTCGAACACTGCGAGATCGCACCCTCTATTTGGCAGAGCTGCAGAAGAGCAAAGCTAGCGCAGCTCAGCTGCAGCGGTGATGCGGTGCCACTCTGCTTTAATCTCATTACGGCATCCAGAGAGGCGTGTCCATGAACTGATAGCTAGGCGAGTCCCTTCCCTTTCGAGTGAAAGCAGCAGAATCATTCATTCACGGGTAGGTTTTCAATTTCCTGTGGATGGTTTTGCTGTGTCCTACCTTGGAGTTTCTCCACCCCATGTCGGAATTCGAAGAGCTTGCGCATGAGATGCACTGTGCAGAGATGGGTTTCCGGGTGACCGAGCGACCTATACTGAAAATAACATGGAGAATGAATCGAACACACGTGCACGCGCGCGCACACACACAAAGTTTGCCAAGTGGATTTAACCACCTGTGCTAAAACTTGAACTGCAAGTGACTTCGCAGGTTACTTTGCAGGCCAGCCTCCGGATGCTGGCCCAGCGTTCGGTCTTTGTGAAGCGAAGACTGCAGGCGGTCCGGATTCAGAACTTCGGCAGCAAAGGAATGTGGTTTTGGGAGCTGGGTTGTGTAGCTTGCAGCAGGTAGTTCGATGAATTCTCGGACAGCCGTTCCACCCAGGAGCATCTGGCGAGGGTGGTCGTGCCGGCGAAAAATCGGGAGGTTGAAGGGCAAGCTGGCAGCTGATCGTATTCAGAAAATGCGGGAGGACGAAGAGAAGAAGCAAGCCTTCGATGAGGCCAAGAAAGCAGCACAGGAGAAGGCAAAGGCCCTGGAGGCGGTGCAGAGGCAGCTCCAAGAAGAGCGGGAGCGCGCGGAGCGTGAGAGTGCCCAGAGGGAGGAGGAGAGGGAAAAAGAGAGGATGAGGGAGGCCAAGACTGAGCAGACAAGAGCCAAAGAACTCGAGTCGGGTCAGCTGGAGCAGCTCCGAAAGGAGCTCTTTGAGGCCAAGAAAGAAAATGCGCGTCTCCAGGGCCAGCTCGACACAAAATCCTCTGAGACGGGGGCAGAAGTCAGTGCTGCAAACTTTGATGCTCTCCGAGCTGAGCTGCAAGAGGCCCGTCGCGAGAAAGTCCGCCTGGAAGTGGAGATGACGACTTGTAAAAGCGCCGAAGAGTTCACTGCCATCGCAGACGAGCTCGCGCAGCTGCGTGAGGAGTGCTCGTCCTTGCGGAGGGCCAAGAGCAGTGCAGAGACGCAGCTAGACCAGAAGAAGTCGCAACTGGCAAGCGTAGAAGAGAAGATGAGCAGACTCGAAGCTCAGACCGTGGAGTTACAGGTCTTGAAATCCTCGAATGATGACCTGCAAATCCAGCTGCAGCGCCTGACCTCACAGAACCAGGCATTGGAGCAAAGGGCGCAGACCGAAGGATCCCTCCGAAACGAGCTGCGAGATCTCAAAGTTGAGAAGATCCGCCTGGAGGGAGACTTAGATACCCTGAAGCTGCGAGAAGAGGCCATGGCGGCCAAGCTAAAGGGGTCGGATAAAGCAGGGGCAGAAGTACAGCAACTGCGCTCCCGTGCGATGGCTGCGGAAGCTGAGCTGGAACAGAGCCGGCACCAGCTGGAGGCCTTGCAGCAGCAGATCGAGCGGAGCAGCCGGGAAGCCGGGAGTGAGCGCGCGAGCTCTCTGGACCAACTTCGAAGCGAGCTGCTTGCACGGATTGAGCCCAAGTCGACTTCCCACGTCTCAGATCCGAGCATGCGGCCCTCCATCCTCCCTGACGAAGACGGCCGAAAGAGCATGTTGGGCCAACGTGAGATGATGGAGAGGTTGAAGCAGCAGTTCAACGAGGCAACGCGGGAGCAGACCGAGGCGAAGGACCTCGAGCAGCTGCCCATGGGGAACGCTGACCGAGAGTTGGAGCTTGAAGAAGAGCTCCGACGGGTCAGGAAGGAGAACGTAGAGCTGAGCATCAGGCTTTCCAGCCCCTGGGACTTTTTTAACAAAGCCTAAGCTGAGCCTAAGCTCCCTTAATAAGCAGACTGCAAGGTTTGGAAGAGGACCTGAAGGACAAGCAGCAGGAGTCAACCCACCTGCTTGGAAGCAGCAGCCCTTTGGCCCAGAGTTGCGGAGTTTCCCCTTGAAAAGCCAAGCTCAGAGCGAGGGTAATCCCCGACGTTCTTGAGGTTTCTTCAGGGGGGGGTTGCCCGGCCAGTGCCATGGGTGCCCTAAAGGCATTGAAACCCCCAACTTCAGGTGGCCTCAAGGCCGAGCTGGAGGATCTGAAGATTCAGCTCGAACAGGAGGGGATGCCGTAGAGCCGTGGTGCTGCAACCCAATCTCCTCGGTGAGCTTCCTGCAGTGCTAAGAAGGAGATCTCGAGTGCCAAGAGGCAAGCAGCAAGATCCGGCGAGCTTCAGGCTGATGGGTTTGCTGAATATTTCTGGGTAATTTTTCAAACGGTCGTCTTTCTGGCAGAGGGGCCTTAGGCATCACAGGTGGTGCTCGGCCAATGGGTTCGATGGCGGCGGCATGTTTGCCAATTGCCAATGGTTTAGCAGTGAGCTTATCCGAGGGCGCGGGCAGTTGCTGTGGTCACCATGGTCACCCCTGCTGCCGGTTGTCATTGTTTTGCGTTGTAGAACACATTGGAGATGAAGGAGGGTGCTTGACGGATGGCCTGCCTCCATTACAGTCTACCATAGTCTTCTGTAGCTTACTATCATCTATGCCCTCTTTACGTCTGTCGTTGAAGCCTCCTTTTGGAGGATCAGCTGCTGGCTGCCGAAGCTGAGCTCCCCAACTTGCGGAGGCTTCACTTGGGCATGGGGGGCCTCTACTTAGGGGTTTAGGGCTTAGGGCATAGGGTTTAGGGTTGGGAGAGGTTGCTGGGGTTTTCGGTTCCGGTTGCTTTGTCTGCGAGCTAGCGAGACCCTGCAACAGTGAGAGTCGAAACCAAAGCCCTCCTTACAAACCTCAACCTCGACGCAACATTGGGCAACTGACCGAAACCCAACACTAATCTAGCCTACAACTGGTGGTCTTGTAAGAAGCGCATATGAGTGGAGTGCCCAACAGTCAGGAGAGTTTCCTGCCATCTGTAGAGCCACGCCAACCTGGGAGTGTGAAGTTACGGCTTAGCCAGCCGAGAGGTTCCGCGAATGGGAGCCTCAGAAACGACAGGACCCAAATATAAACCCTGCATTGTGCGAGTGTGTGACTCGAAATATAAACCCAGAGTCGCAACATCTTTATCATTAGGACGTCTGAGCCCTAGCCCTAAACCCTGATGCCGGCCTTGTGCGAGTGTGAGAGTCGAAACCTTGATGGCTTGTTTTTTGGGGTTTCCCGGGGAACTGTGTTCAGGACTTGGTAGACTGGATTTCGGAGCTGAGTTTGGAACTTGGAGTTTGCGCGGGTGATGACAGTGATGACGCGATGATGACGACATGACGATGACAACAGAATGATGGGGGACCTGCTGGTGATGATGACGGTGATGAGGCCAGCATGCTGGTCACGCCTGATGGTGGTGGTGGTGATGATGATGACGTCAGTGACGAGGCATGATGATGATGACGATGATGATGATGACGACATCATGATGCTTGGGCATGATGACGATGATGATGATCATGATGATGTTGCTGATTATAAGATGATAGGAGGAGGATGGGGAGGAGGAGTAGCTGCTCCCCTGTCGCAAGTTCACCATGAAACACAGACTTTTCGTGATGTACTGAAGTACTACACCACAATCGCACAAGACAAAACTGCATGTTTTTTTTGTGCAGACCTCAGCTCCTTAAAGCCTGGAGAAAACTCTGAAGCAAAACATCACCAACAACCGCGAATATCGGGATTCGGTGTTTTTTTTTATCGAGGTGCACGAAGTGCTTCAAGTACCAGCGAATTCGCTCCGCTGTTGCAAATTCACCATGGCACCATATGAAACCAACTCTTTTCGTGATGTTTTAGAGTATTACTCCGCACTCGCACAGCACAAAACTTCTAGTTTTTTGCATGTTTTCGTCGTTGTGGTCATGCCAAAACCTCGCTTTGTAACATCTGTGTTACGTTTGCGCATTTCCAAGCTGTATGTGCGAAGACCACATGTTCCGTGTTTTGTGGCCCCGTTGCATAGGTGCAAAAACCGTGTTATTTGCGGTTCTTTCGAGCTCATGTGACAACTTCGTCTTGTCTACTTGCCCCTGGTCTCCGGCAAACCCCCGGGAACTCTGCAGGAACTTGCCACTCTGATTCCTGCAGTTGTGAAAGTCCTTAAATTCTTTGTCCAGTTGTGCAGCTTGGACCACTGAAAACCCAGTTTTCTGAAACCTCCAAATCTCAAAGCCACAGGAACCCCATCAAGAACGTGTTGGACTATAGGAAGCCTTGTAGCATGCCTTTTTCTTCTTCTGCACATCGCAGTTTGTCGTGAGGCGGCTCACAACGGCGGAGGAGCAGCTCCTTCAGGCTTCTGGTTGAGCTGTTCTGCATTCTTCAATGTCATCTTATTCTAGCGATCTCTAATAATGATTCGGGTGGTTGCTATTTCTTTCTCCTTTACCATGGTTGATACGGTTGAGTATGGACGTCACTGTCACCATCATCACCATCGTCACCATGACTGCTGTCACAGTCTTGCATTTTATCAGGTTGAACATCACCCATGCCCCTCGAACTGACAATTTGGGGGTCTAGATCCACGACCGGGATCTTGACAACTGCGATGCACGGGAGTGGTGAGCAGAAGCCATTCTAAGCAACCATGGATCTTTCAGTGGAGTGCATGTGTTCATGGAGAAGCTGCCGCTGCTGCCGCCCTGCTACCAGATTGTTTGGGGATTTCACATTCGGGGAAAGTTGTGCGAAAACTCTGACAGCCCGACCAGGCGCAGGAGGAAGCTCGGACATCTCAGCAGCGCTGCAGCCAGATGCAAGATGAGAGCCGCTTGCTCCAGCAGCAGCTCCACCAATTCCAGGTGCGATGCCAGGGCGGGGGCTGTGAACGGATGTCGAAGCGTTCTGGATCGTTTGTGTCAGGCCTCCGCCTCCGCGTGTGCAGTTCGGGAGCGCGCTTTGTCAGCAAAGTCAGCTGAACTCAGCAGAAAGCCATCCGTGTTGCGTGCGTAGAGCATCGTGGAATTGTAGATCCAGCCTTGACGCAAGGTGAAGCTGATGACCAGGTGAGAGGGTACAAGGACCAGCTTGAGGTGCCGGGCTGTTAGCTTTGTCCGATGTCGCTCCACCTTGAAGCTTCTTTCAAGGCCTTGCAGCAGGAGATGGAGGCAAGCCGATCACAGAGCGAGCCGGGCTTTCAAGACCTCTCGCAGAGCATGCAGAGCCAGAGCCTGTGCTCACACGTGCTCAGCTGAGGTCTTCTCAGAGGCATTTGCGTGGTGAGTGTGAGAGGCTCAAGGCCTGAACCCCGCTGAGGGCATCCCGCAACGGAGATGTGGGGGACTGCATCGCAGGTGGAGCTTGCCGAAGCCAACAGTGAGCGCGGCAAGATGCGTGGCATTGTCGACGAGGTCCTGTATCCCGGCTGCATGCTAAGCCAGTAGGGCACCTGCGTTGATGCCAAGTTTCTAGCGTCGCGTTGTGCCGTGATCTTCCGACCAACTTGTTGCATTACGTGCAGGCACGCGAGCACAGTCCGTGTCGAAAGCGCTACCCGCAACCTGAGGAAGGCCCAAGAATCTCAAGACCTGGTGCCTCAGCTAGCAAATTCGGCCGTGCATGTTGATCGGCCACTGCCTCCATGCAGAAGAATATGGTAGAGTGGCTCAAGGAAAGAAGCCTCCCCGTGGCTGAGCTGTAGACCTCCGTCCCTCAAGCGGAGGGCCAATTCTTTCTCAGGCGCCATGGCTCCTTCTTCAGGAGGCAAGGGCTGGATGCTTCGCATGCTGCGAAATTACCGTCGTATGGACAAAAATCTCATTGGGGAATCCTGCAGTTTGAGGGTGCAGCGAGACCATCAGGAACGTGGCTTGGGTTGCCGGGTTATTAGGATGGAGCGGACGACCTTTGAGGGCAGGCGCGAGGCTTCGCGTCTGGCTGCAGTGATTGGAAATGAGAGACGACGACGAATCGAGGCCGAGGAGTCCCTTCGAAGTAAGTGGATCTGGCCTTGCTGTAGCATGCTGTGGGATGAACACCATGCCTTTGGGGTTTCCATTGGAGGCCCATGGTTCCTGCAAGAGTTTCGGCCCTTGGGAGGAGCAAGATGATACAGTTCATGAATCGCCCGGGGAAGCCCCGAGCCGAGAGGACTGGAGCGGACCCCCGGTGCCTCCAGCAGCCAGCCCGAATGACTGGGACTTCTGGGACGGAGGAGATGGAGGAGATGATGGCCCGTGTGCCTGGCCTTTTCCCCCCTCCCCCCTAGGTGGGTCTAAGTCCTTGCCCTTAGGGGTACCCGTGTCCCAGCTTGAGTCGCAGGCCGCCTTGCTTTGCCCGAGCTCGGATTCAAGCCGACGGCCCCCTGAATTGCGTGAGCCTGCTCCCTCCCCGCCTTGTGCTGTAGGGTTTAGGCCCCCTCCCCTTGGGGTACCCGTGTGCCTCCTGCCTGAGTTGGGCTATGCTCAGCCGGAGCGCCGCTGCATGGAGAACGACCTGCAGGCGCAGCTTCCTTTGATGCGTTGTGGGGGTGGGCCCACCGGCCTTGAGGGTCTGCTTGAGGGTTTGACAGCCCAGCTGATGCCTTTGATCACCGAGTTGGTTCGAAAGGCGGTGGAGTCAGCCTTAGCTAGCCAGTTGCCAGCGGCCACCCGTCCAGGGCCGGCAGACAGCCGGGAACATGAGTCAGGCGAGCCCCGGGCCAAGAAGCACAAAGGGGCGGGCAAGGAGCATAAGCGCAAGCAGCCGGAGGCAGCGACAGATGAGTCTGGCCGCGGCCGTGGCACTCCTGCCGCGACCGCTCCGCCGCGCAAAGGCAAAGGGGCAGGTGTCAACAGTGCTGCTCCTTCCACAGCACATGCCCCGACCGCCGGGGAGCATGGGGATGCCGATGAATGGCAACAAGTGTCGAGAAGGGACTCCGAACCCTTCGAGCTCAGAGCCCAGGACTGGGATGCTCCGATCGTTCCCCACACGGGGGTGGGCAAGAAGCTGGACGAGCTGGCGGCTGATGCCACTCTGGAGGCAGTTGTTATGGCTTCCAAGGCCGAGCTCGAGAAGGTCGCCACGATTCTGCGAGGTACTTCTAAGCCTCACCGTGTCATGCTTTATTGAGCTTTCGAAGGACGGGCCCACTCGCATCCCAGGCCGCGTGGGCAACATGCTTCGTTTTCGGCAGGCCAAGACGGTCCAGATCCAGTCGGCGGGGAAGGCTGCTGCAGGGTATGCCGGGCACAAGGCTGCAGCGGTCAAGGTGGCCCCGGTCGAGACCTGCGCCATCTCCATTCGCATTCCGGAGGCCTACCTGAGCCCCGAGAAATGGAAGGTTTTTCGTACGAACCCGACCCGGGCGATTGCCAAATGGGCTGCGGGTCAGAAGGTGCTCCTCTCCGATACGTGGTCCTGGCTGGAGGAGTCGCATGGCCGTTCCGGCCGGCAGCTGTTCGGGAAGGCCCGAATCCCGAAGAAGGACCTGACCAGTCTCCTTGCTGCCAGCGGCAGAGAAGGCGTTTTTCTGGATCCGCCTCGCGACGCCGTGGCTTCGCAAATCCAGTGGTTGGCCAAGGGCACCGACGAGGCCGCCAGTGCCTATCACGAGCGTGGTCTGCGCATGTCGCCTTTGCTGGGCTTGGTGGCGCAGGGTGGGCGAATCGGCGCCAGAACCACTCGAGACCCGGCACAAGCCATTGCTCGGATTTGGAATTTCCCTCATGTTCCCGGTGATTGGGGGCCTGAGGAGGTGAAGTCTGTTTTGGCACAGGCTTTTGACGCCGTGACTCTCATCCACAACAGGCGGACCGGCCGGGAGTTCCTTTACCGGTTCCGTGGGACGCACAGATTTGGAGACAAAGACGTGGTGCCATTGCAGGCCACCGTCGACGATGGCACGGCCGCCCCAGGCGAGATGACTCTTTGGGCCCAGGTCGCTCCTCATAGACCACAGGGCAACAAGCAGCACTTCCTGAAGCCCGCCCCGGTGCCGCTTCTTCCTGCCACGGCCTCGCCCTTGGATGGGAAACTTGTTAAGGTCGAGAAGCCGCCTGTCATTGACGAGCATGGCAAGGAGACCTCTCCTGCACAAACCCGCGCCTTGCACCAGCGGGAGATTCCGGCCGGCTGTCAGATCATTGCCATCGACAAGGACGGCTCATGTCTCTACAGAGCCGTGGCCAAGGGTCTCACTTGGCTTAGCGGGAAAAAGCAAACTGAGCACTGTCACCGCGACCTGCGAGCACGAGCAAATGCTCACCTTCGGCGACACAAGGCTCAGTACGTCGATGAGTGGGACGGCTTTGGGCCCTCGCTTGAGCGTCTTGAAGCCGAGAGCCCAACGAAGGCCGAGGGCTTCGACAAATACTTGGACTTGGCCGAGAAGGAGTCGGCTTACGGCTCGGTTTTGGAGCTCAAAGCCCTTAGCAGGCTTTATGATGTGTGCTTGATGGTTATTCCCCGAGACGCCAACTTCGGCACTATGGTCTTTAAGGAGGCCAAAGCCCATAAGCGCAGGGCCATTGTGCTTTGGTATACTCCCAAGCACATCGATCTGGTGATGCCCGCCACTTTGACCGAGCACTACCCTGAGGCCCTGTTCGCGGGGTGCACGGGCCAAGTCGTGGACTTACGAGCCGGCGGCCGCAGCAGCCCACCTAGTGCTGATGAAGCCTCAGTCTGGACCCGCGCTTCTAATGCACCTTCCTCTCTGCCTCGATCCACGGCCAGCAAGCGAAGCCGGAGCACTCAGCCCGAGGCCCCGCGGGAGCCTATGCGGCCACCTGTTGGAGGACAGCGCTCGTCCCCTGGCACATCTGTCCATTCGGGCACTGTGTGGTCCTCGGCATGCGCGAGTTCGAAGAAGCCCAAGGGCAGCCGGGCCGAAAGCGGCCAGGGGCGGTCACCGCCCAGCCTGGGAGCCAAGACTGTCTGGACCAATGCGCCACCTGCTGCCGGCAACACCGGCCCACCCAGCACTGGGGCGGCCGATGGAGCAAGTGACGTTGAGACTTTCTGTCCGGAGCCACCGACGCCTGCTGAGGGCGATGCCAGGCCGGCTCGCCGTGGACCACTGCATTTTCACACGCCGACGGGCCCTGCCATTGCGCTCAAGGGTGTTTTTCAGTGCGAGTTCTGCCCTTTTCGGCTGAAGGGGAAAGACTCCAGGCAGCTCTATCGGGCCCGCCATCAGCACCTTCTCCGCTATCATGACGGCCAGGGCATTTACAAGCCGCCACCTGCACTTCAGCTCACTAGCCGTGGCAAGCAAGCCGATTTTCACTGGAGGTGCCCTATGTGCAAGCAAGGCCTGCTTCGAAGTGAGGTCGTGGATCGTGTCCAAAACCAGGTGACCCGTGCCAAAACTGCACATAGGCTCCAGGCTCACCCGGAGATCAGTGCTAAGACCTGGAAATGCATGATGGTTCGCCAGGCTATGACTCCCCTGCGCCAGGCCAGGATCCGAGCTGCAAGGTCTAACAATAGGACTTCAAGGATCAAGTTACAGGAGCTGCCTGAGCATGTTGTCCCCTTTGTCTTGCCTGTGCCGCCGCATAAGCCCAAGTCTTCTGACGATGGCCTCAAGCAGCCGCGTGCCCAGGCCAAGGTTGGATTTAAGAACTGCTGGAAGTGCAAACGGTGTGGGGCAATCGCCCGCACCAAGACCTCCCTGAAGCTGCACCTCGGTAAGAAGTGTCCTGCAATTTATCCGGGCGTCGTCCAGGCCAGACTGAGGCGACTCAAGAGCCTCAAGCGTCAAGTTGCCGGGACCCAGGCCACTGGCTTCACCAAAGAGCAGCTGCACGAGATCTTTGAATCCGCCCGTCGGGCCATTGAGGAGATACCGTCTCAGCCTTCGTCTCGCTTTTGAGCTGCAACGTGGCCCGCCACGGGGTCACCATCATTGAGGCGGCTGCCTCCATGCTTCGGGTGCAGAACGCTGCGGTGGCAGCTTTTCAGGAGGTGGACATCAACCGGGCCACTGCTCCCGGCTTTGCGGTGGCTTGGCGGCGCCAGGGTTTTCGAACTGTCCTGGGGCCCGGGGACGACCGTAACCGTCATAGGGTTGCTTTGGTTTCCTGCCTTCCGATGCAGCCAGTTCAGCTTGAGATGGAGATTGCGAGTGATCGGGTCGCTGCCGGCCTAGTCTCCATGCCTTTGGGGGACCGGACCGTTGCGGTTCTCGTCGCCTCCTTCTATGGTTACCCCTGGGACTTGCCCCGCACCAACTCTGCCTTCAGTGCCTTGCTGCGGGCGATTTCGGTGTTTGGCGGCCCCTTTGTCATTTTGGGGGACTTCAATTGCACACAAGCCGAGGGTGTGGTTGCCACCTCTCTCTGCTCACATGTGGTGAGGGCTGCTGATGAGGCTTACTCCTTTGAGCCGCCGCCTACCAACCCCTCCAACACGCGCCGCATCGACTTCGCTTTGACTCACCTGGACTTGGTGGCCACGGCTGGGCACACCTTTCGCCAGCCTGAGCTGTCTGACCATGGGATCGTGCGAGTTGACTTTGGAGGTGATGGTTTTCAGCCCTCCTGGCAGCGGCCTCGTTTTAAAAACTTCGCTGGCCCTAGACCTGAGACGGCTCCCCCTTTGGAGTTCCCACAATCTGCGCTGGATGCCTTGCTCGCGCACGCCAGGCTGGATGAGGCTTGGACTTTGCTCTCTGACTGGGCCGAGGATTATCTCGACATTGGCTGTGCCTCTTGCCGAAGAAGCCAACCGTGGCGACCGGAGCCACGAGAGCTCCCCAGTGGGGCACCTACACGCGATGGCCACGAACCCCGGCCTCTTCGTGCTTTGCGGCATCTCGCACGCCGCCTGCAGCAGCTTGTTCAGGAGCCCTGGAACACAGCACTTCGCCAGCGTTTGACTCAGTCGCTGGGCCATACTCGGGCACAAGTGCCAGACCTCCCACACGTCGACCCCTCCTTGCCTGAACAGGCCTTGCCTCCGATCAACGAGTTGATCGAGTCGCACCGGGCCGCTCATCGGGAGGCCTGCTTGAGCAAGTGGCGCGAGAAGATTCAGGAGTCTCCGGCCCGTGCCATCAACTGGATTAAGCGTCGGGCTGATCTGGATATGGAGCTGCAACAGCCTCCTCTTTTGAGGGAGGCCATGAAGGGTACGGTGCATCCTTCCCACAGGGTGCAGGAGCAAGGGGAGATTTGGATTCGGCGGTGGCAAACTCCCTCGTGTGAGGCTGACCTGCCCTCCTACCGCCGTCTGCTGCAAAACCTTCCTCAGCACACTCCGGCTGACCTGGATTTGGTTCCCACGGTGCACGAGCTCAAAGGGGCAATGGGCAAGATGAAGTCTAAAGCCCCTGGTGCTGATGACTGGCAGGCCAGCATGTTTTTGGCACTCCCCCCAGACTGGTGGACTGGGTTTCAAAGGCTCTGGGCCCAGGTGGTCGCAACCGGGCGGGTGCCGAGCATTTGGCAACGCTCTTTGATTGTTTTGCTGCCTAAGCGCAACAATACTACGCGTCCTGTGGCCTTGTTGCCAATGGCGTGGCGGGCCGGCTCCCGGGTTCTTGCCAAACGGCTGCAGAGCTGGGTCCTCCAGTGGAACGACCACCGTGCCTGTGGCGCTGCTCCGGGTAAGAGTGTGGCCGATGTTCATGCCCGTATCCTTCAGGCCTGGAATTTGGGCACTCGGGCTTTTATCCAGCAAGATCTTAGCGCTTTCTTCGACTCTTTGAGCGTGCCAGTGATCACTGAGACCTTGCGTCACCTAGGGCACCGGAACCCTTGACCCAGCTCATTTCTGGTTTCTATGCCCAGCAGCTTCGCTTGTTTGCGGTGGACAACCACACCACCTCCTTCTGGAGGCCGGCGCACATAGGTTTGCTCCAGGGCTGCCCTTTGAGCCCGGTCCTCAGCCTCTGTGTTGGACACCTCTGGACGCAACACGTGTCCTCCCAGCAAGTGGAAACGGGCATTTTCGTTGATGACCGGGTCCTGTGGATGCCTGACGAGAGCGGGTCCTCTGCGTGGGACGCTCAGCAGGCCCTGCAGCGCAGTGACGAGTTCGACAGGGCTGCTGGCCTGACCTGCTCTCGTCCCAAGTGCCATTTGGTGACGGAGGACCCGTCTAGCCCTTGGTGCGTTGTTGCACGCGAGCGCGGCTACACCGTGACTCCGAGCCTTCAGTTCCTTGGCATCGACCTCTCTCTGGCGACTGGCGATGCTTGCCCTTTGCGGCTCTGCTTGGCTAAACTTCGTGCCCATGCCACAAGTCCTGCCTTTAGCCTCGGGGCCAAGTTTCAGGTCATCAGGTCCTTGATCTTTCCTGCCATGTTCTGGGCTGCGGGGGTTGCTCTCCCTGCACAGGAGGAGTTGCGTGCAATCAAGCTTTCTGTGAGCCATGCACTTCAAGCCGTGCTGACGTTCGAGGCGCCTCGGGTGCTCATCGGCCAGGTGCTGGGCTGGACGTCGGACCCTTTCTGGATGGCTGATTGGGCTTCCCTGTCTGCCCTGGCTCGCTCGTTGGTTCGTCCATCGGATGGGTCGGAGCAGGACTTGATTAGTTCGCTGCGTGTCGCCCGGACCGCGGGGGTTCCTGCTGCCATCCAGACGGTGCGGCGCTTGGGCTGGCAGCTTGACGCTGCAAATCGCCGCCTGCAGCGCAGAGACGATCGGGGCACGCTGCGAACCTTTTGCTTTGGGGAAGACTCCATGCATGCCCTTCGTTGGTGGCTCACCGAGCATCATGTGCAAGAGGCGACAAGGACTTGTGGCAGAGTCGCCAGGCGTATGCATCGAGATGATCCCACCCTTGCGGTTGGCTTGGATCTCCCCTCTCCGGGGGCCGACCTCAGGTTTGCCTTTGTGGGGCATGGTCTTGAGTATAGGAATGCTACCTCCTCTAATGCGACGAGAGCTTGCCTGGCGACAGGCGGCACTGCATGGCACTTTGGGCGCAAGCATGGGGGCACGCCGAACACCTGCCTGTGTGGCCGTGCCTGGCCGTCCCGCTCTCATGTGCTGTGGACCTGCCCAGAATTGCGCGGGTGTCGGGCGAACCTCGCCCCTCCAGTGAACCGGGTCGAAGAAAGGCTCCTTGGGTGTCCACTTTCGGAGTATCCTGGCCCGCCTCAGGAGGCGGCCCTTTGTCGAGAGCCCCTAGTGCATCTGTTTGAGACCGCTACCGACGACCACATCGAGGAGTTGATACTGGCTACAGACGGCTCCAGTCTGGAGGGCATTGGAAGCTTTGGTATTGCCTGCGATCGGCCTTTGGCCCGGATTGCAGGTGCCGACACCCACGAAGATCAAACACCGTTCAGAATGGAATTGAAGGCATTGGAGGAGCTGCTGGCCGCCTTGCTGGTAACGCCACGGCCTCCACGACGAGTCTGGATTCTATGTGATTGCCAATCGGCGATCCGAGTCCTCTGCTGCCCGAGTCAGTGTTCCCTCAGGCTCTTGGCGGATCGGGCTGCTCAATCTGGTAAGGCTTTGCGCCATCGTGGTGTTGACTGGTCAGTGGTGTGGATCCCGAGCCATGGAAAAGGTCCCTCGTGGGCCGCTCCTACTTGGGTGCCTGCGACAACGGAGGAGTGCAGACGATTGAATGCTGCTGCAGACACGGAGGCGAACACGCTGTGCAAGCGGCGACATCGCACCTCGCTCAGGGCAAGCTGGCAGCTGGAGGTTGCTCGCGCAACCGCTGTGGAGAGAGCTCGGATCCAAGCCTTGACGCATGCCTCTACGAGCTTGGAAAACCATTTGTGTACAGCCAGGTCTCGCGTCCCTGGAGTCATTTATGACGATGACGATGTATAGAGCGTCTGGCTCCAGCCCACGCTAAACCTGCGGTGACCGGCGTGGGACCTCCCGCTTAGCAGGCGGCCCTCGACCGACAGTAACTTTTCAGAATATGGTAGAGTGTGGACGTGTGTGGACAATTGTTAATGGATTTTGGTACCCAATCCAAAGGACCAGGAGCCGACAAAGAGCTATCCATAACATGATGACCAAAGCGCCGAGGAGAAGTGGAAAGTGAAAGCTTTGCACTTCGAGAAGGCTGGAATCTACGATCCACTCGAGACTTGAGCTTTCTCTGATGTGAAGCGCATTGCCAGAAATACGCGGATGCAAAGAAGCTCAATGAAGAAATGACGCAGGTGGGTGCTTCTGCACAGAGGTCCAGCATGTAGGCATCCAAGCGCGGAAGGTGATGTCGCAAATGACAAAAGAAGTGAGAGAGCGATCTGATGGCACTGGAGATGCCTCCAGACAGGTCAAGGTGCGCCTTTTGCGTTTCAGCAGTGTGACTGACATGCAGCGGAAGATAAGAGGCAATGAAGGCTATATGGATTTTACAGCCACACGAATGCCCCTCTTTATCGCGCACACAGGCTACAGTCATGTTTTCATAGCTACAGTTTAACATAGTTCAACCAACAGATGTGCGCATCACGAGAAGCAGGTATTGTTTGCACGTAGACACACACACACACAAACACACGTGTGAACAAGCTTGAGCACATATGGAAAGAAACCACATACCATAGATATGTATGCTTGTGTGTATATACTCATGTTAAACTCGCATGCCCGCATGCCGCATGCCTGCATGCAAGGATGGATGAATGGATGGAGTTTTGGATGGGGATGCGGGATGCGTTCGGCCGACATGCCACAAGGCTGCCCGACATGCAGGGGTGGCTTACCGAGATGCGAAAACTTGGTAAGCGATGTTTGCGTGAGATGCAAAAAGCTTGATGGCCGATGTTTGCGGTTGGCTGCCCGAGATGCCGAAGGCTTGTGGGACCATGGTCGATGTTTGCTGGGGGCACGGTCGATGTTTCGGGTTGGCTGCTCGCGAGGCCACGGCGGCACTGTCTGTGGAGTGAAATGGAAGACTAGCAAATCAGTACAGGGCGCGGCTGCCAAAGGTGTAAAACCTTCGCTCTGCTTGGTAGTATGTGGTGTACCTGGTAGTATCTGGTAGCACGTGGCAGTATGTGGCAGTATGTGGTGGTTGGTAATACGTGGTAGTACCTGGTCGTACCTAGCAGTAACTTAGTAGTACATGTTACTGGTGTGTCGAGTACGTGGTCGTACGACATCCAAGAGTGGCTGCCCGAGATGCTTTTGGATCTCCAGCTGCCAACCACAACCATCGGCCACGGCAGTGCTGAATGTGGAGTGAAGTGGTAAAATAGTAAAGTAGTACAGCGCCGACATGCAGGGGTGGCTGCTCGAGATGCATAACCTTCATTCTGCTGGTAGTGCTGCCTGGTAGTATGTGGTAGGTAGTATGTGGCAGTACTTGGTAGTACTTGGTAAAGCGTGGGAGCCACCGCAACCGACTGGTGGCGACCCGAGATGCAAAAGCTTTTTTCATCTCCGGTTTCCACCCCGAACATCGGCTATGGGAGCACTATGTCTGGAGTGAAATAGTCGAACGGTACAAGAGTTAAACCAAAAGTTTTCAAAATAGTAGGCCGGTATGCACGGGTGTGCCCGAGATGCAAGCACTTTTTTGCATCTCCGCCTGCCGTATGTGGAGTGAAACAGCCAAACAGTAAAATAGTAGAGGGAACCTCGCCTGACATCGTCGAAGGCGAGTGCAAAATGTATGTACGTATGTATGAACGTATGTTTGTATGTACGCTGTATGTATGCATGCGTGTAACGGGCCTGTCTGGATGCATGGATGGATTGATGAATATGTGTACCTGCGAGTTTAAACTTTTCTTACGCAAACACGCATTCATGCTTGTGTGTGTGCGCGTGTTTCTTGACAAGTGTTCATTGTACTTTCTTAGATTGTGTCGGCGGCATGGGGCAGGAGCTGCAAAGACAACTCGAAGCAAAGACTCAGGAGAGAGCTTGGGTACTCTGAAGACTCCTAGATGGCCGGCAGAGTACAGTAGTCCAGATTGGTAGCATCGTGTGCCATGCTGTAGAAGCAAAGTTCTTGATATCATTATCGCTCTGCCCCGCAGGGCGACCCTTTTGCGAAGGGTCGAGGCAAATAGAGTTAGAGATTGAGTCCATCTTGCCTGAAGAACCAGCATGACACCTCCCCAAATAATGCCTAGTTGTATTTGCATTTAGGCAGAGGCTGAGCTAGCTGGAGATGCAGGAGCTACGCGGTGCCAAGCAAGAGAGAGATGAAGCCCTGCACAAAATTAACGAAATGCAGGGTTCCGGCGCAGCCCTTACACTGAAACTGCCCTTCTTCTGTCTACTCATGTAAAACGGAGTTGGGCCGAGGCGAATTCTTCAAGGACAAGTACAGACAGTCGCAGGAGGAACTGAAAAAGCTGCGTGAGGTGCCGTTGAACTCCGTTGAATCCGCCTCATGGTACCGCACGCTCTCCGAAGCCAGGCACATTCTGTGGCGGCGGCTACAAACGATGTGCTGTGTCTCGGCAAAAAACTGGAGAACGTCGGTGAGTCAACGCTGTTGGGAACCTTGCAAGTCTTGCTTTGTGCACGGGTGCCCGCCGCAAGCAGGGACCAGTTGACGTTCTGGTTCTCTGTGATTTGCACAACTCCTGTAGCATGATTCCGGCAGGAAAGCCAGACTTCAAACCATCGACAATTCAAACAACGTGCCGCTCGAGCCGGACGACAGAAAGAACGTGAAGGCTGGCCGGCTGGATTCGATGGGACTTCGTGCAGCAGCGTCCGCCTTAGGCCGGGGACACTGAACAGCCAGGGCCTCTGCACAGCTCTGAGTACTTTGATATGTGGAGACTGATTGCTGCTTTCCCAGGCGATCTGCTGAGCTCGAGGACCATGTGAGCTGAGTGTAGGTAGACAAGCTTGTCTACGGAACCGGCTGATGTACACGCAGCTGCAAGGAGCTCCAATCGAGGCTTCAAATGCAAGATGTGAATAAAACTCGACTGGAGGCGCAACATCTATCGTGTCTGACGGCTGCAGTGTGCAGACTCACGATCTCGGACAGGCCGACGTGGCCAAGCAGCACGAGATCAACGACTGCCTCTTGTCAAGATGGCTATCCCTCCACCCTGACCGATTGTAGGCAGCAGCCCCTTCCCTGTTCAGCAGCACTCGTTCAGTCTCGCATGAACTGGACATAGACAGTCCCACAATAACCTTTGACCAGCCCTCATAGTTTGAGTCAGACTTATGGCTGCCTGGCTCTTTTCTTGAGCGTTGACTTTGCTGCGGGTCCACTCGCTGCCGGGGATCATTTAAGGCCTCAGGGCTCTCACAATGCTTGAGACGCAGCATCGAGAGATATGCGAGCAGTGGTGCGAACGAGCTGGAGCCGTGATGGACACTGGCACCATCCGTACCTTGGCTGCGTGGAAACGTGCGAACTAGCCCGTAGCAACTTGAAGACATGCATAGGCCCCGTTGTACTTCGAATTACCCTCGATTCGTTCGTGTTTCTCTCTAAGTAGCAAGCCTGGGTTCATGTACACGTTTCTTCAGTCTGTATGAATGTATGTATGTATGTATGTATGTATGTATGTGTATACATATGTATATATATATATATGTGTGTGTGTTTATACATGCAATGCATGCACGAAGGAGCCACGAGATCGGTCTACGCTCACTGCATGTAGATCTGATACGGCGGCTTCCGCTATGTGTATGTATATGGGATTTCCTGACACTCTGGGCCTTACTTAGGCGCCCTGCAAACGGAAGATCCTACTGACGGTCCGTATGCATCCAGTTATGAACAGGCATACATGGCCGACCACCAAGGCCCTGAACCTCAGAACCCCTAGGCACTACTGTACAAGCTGAACCATACCGAATCGCCGAACCTCATCTGCCACATCCGAGTGTGAGTCCGTGAGCGTCGAAGCCCAACACCGGAACAGTCAGCTAGATAGGTTGCAAAATGAAGCCTCCCCAGCTGCTGAGCCCAAACATCCCTTTTGTTGGGTCGTACATCTGTTCTGGTTGTCCTTTGTCTGTGGTCGCAACCATTGTGACAACCATGTAAGCTTGAATCGTGTGAAGCCTTGCATGCCCTGTGCGAGTGTGAGAGTCGAAACCCTATGTGGGCTTGATGTTTTGTGAAAGACATGTCGGTTTGTTTCACGTCAGCCCTGCACCCTAGTGATGGCCTTGCTTGCTGCGGTAGGCTAGCTAGTTCCAACCTCTTGCCCTCTCCGACGGTTGTGTGCCTGTTCTTCAGCTTGTTGTTGTGATACTGTCGGACAGGGAACCTCCCATGTAGATTTGCAGATGTAGTTTCCTCTGGGGGTCCTCGTCGCTTGGGAGCTTTGATGGTAAGGGTCTTAGACTTGCTGGTTTTGCATCTGGATCTTGTTCGTTGGGGATGCCCAGTCCTGTTTCACGCCGACTTCGCACCGTGAACCTCGCCTGGCATGTCCGAGTTGTGAGAGCGTAAACCCGAAGCCTTGCCAGGCTTGTCCGAGTGTGAGTGTCAAAAAACCCGAA